TATAATACTTGTATTTTATTATCCTGGTAAAAAACGTGGCACTGTAACACATCACTGTTTAACCTCTGACTTGACTGACGTGTTACTCAATAACACATGATATCAGCCTGTGAATCCCTGTGGGGCAACTTTTCCTCATGCTGCGTGGAGCAGTGTCACTTTCTCCTCATCTATCGGGGAGGGGGGGGCTCGTATTTTGATGCTCCCACCAACGCCACCCCCCCCCGGAGACGCTGGCCCTCCCTGTGTCTTTGTAGTTATATATAGAGTTTCTCCTGTGAGGCTGTCAGGTTGCATTTGTCTGCGCGGCGCTCTCCTCGTTCACACTTCACACCCTCCACACTCCAGCTTCTCCGAACGCGAGATGCTCGTCCTGCCGAGGTCAGCTTCTGATGGCCGCGCGGGGGGTGGGATGTCAAGCTGCAGGGAAGCCGATAGCATTTGAGCCTTTGTGAGCTATTTTCTCTTCTCGCCTGTTTGCCCACCACCACATTTTCAGTCATTTGCACTTTTTGAGAAGTTCTCTGGTGAATTTCTCCGGAGGGGGTCAGAGGTCAAGGACTCGCTCAAGGACACTTCAGCAGGTGCTTCTGTGTCCTTCACGCCGCTCCCTCTAGCTTGGCAGAGATCCTCGCCATGCCTCAGTTCTTCCCCCGGCTCAGTAGAGTGCCAGCAGAGGCCACCAATTTGTAGATAAGAGCCCATTTCTCAATAGCACCAGCAGATCAATAAGTCAGGCTCGGAAAGCACTTATGAATGACTGATGGTTGGAGGCTATTAGGGGGGGAGTGCATCATTACCTGAAGTGAGAATATCTTCCCTCTGTAAACTGATGTTATTTAATACGAGAAAATATAAAAGTATATCAAAGATAAATATTCTCTTCCAGCTAAAACTGTGCAACATAAGTCGGCCTAATCTTGCAAAACAAATCCAAACATTTAAATATCACTGAGGTGCAGCACGTACAGATCTCACATTTGAGCAGGTTTTTGCTTCTCACCCGGTAAATATGCGCATCCCAAAACTTCCCTTACAAATTCGTGTACTGTACAAAACACGGAACACCTCACTACTTAATCTGTGTTTTGAGTGAAACCGCCCTTCAAGTATCTTTGCTCCTCAAAACTCTGTTTCTACTCATCCACTGACACATTAGCCGAATCTAAATATGAAGAAGAAAATAGTTGTTTCCGAGGCCGACCTTCACCTCCTCCCTGCACATTAGCTTTATTCAATTATTCAATAACCTGTTCCATTACTCTCCCGCAGCCTGGTTTCCTCGTATTGATGGCTCATGAGGAAGAGGACTGGGATCGCCTGCCGCACGCTGGGGGGGAGAAAGCTTTCTGATCCGCTAAGATGCAAAGATGGAAAAGACGCAAAGTGGAGAGCTAATGATTTTAAACACGAATTGTAAGCTGGTAAATGCACAGCTCGTGTGCTACGTGGAAGTTTAATGTATTCAGGAATAAATAGAGCATTGAAACGAGCCAGTTTTCTTGCGATGACAGTTTTCTAATCGGACCTCCTGCTGATATTAGACACCCGGGCAGGGATGGAGGCCTCCTGGGAAGCTGGAGCTGAATGTAGCGGCTCCATTGTGCATTGTTCCGATCGCTTATTGTTTCAGCATCTAACAAATACAGTATGTAGGCCAGTAACACACACACACGCATTGTTACTGAGTGTTTCCCTCTTTCAGTATCAGGAAGTTCCTGTCGTTGTCGTTAAATGGGGTCTCCTCTTGACCTGATGTCTTCTGTCATTTCCAGGTACCAGCAGGTGCCCGTGGTGCTCGTGGGCAACAAGGTGGACCTGGAGGACGAGCGGGAAGTGTCCCCCAGCGAGGGCCAGGCGCTCGCCGAGGACTGGGGCTGCCCGTTCATGGAGACGTCGGCCAAGAGCAAGACCATGGTGGACGAGCTGTTCGCCGAGATTGTCAGGCAGATGGACTTCTGCCCCCTGCCGGACCGGAGGGAGGCGTGCTGCCCCGCCTGCAGTGTGCAGTAGCGGGGACGGATGGGAGGAGAGCAGCAGTTAGGATGAAGTCTTCGTTAGCTAGACTGAAGATGGAGGGGGGGGGGGGTTCAAAAGCAAACATCTGCTCTTGCTTTCACTTATTTTGAAGTTCAGGCCTTTGAGTTGGAAACGTAGGAAATCATGTAGCAGAAATAGACTAATTCAATTTCAACTTTTCATTCCTGCTCATAACACAGGGCGGATTTCCCCACTTGACCTCCCACGTCCATCACCGTCCTCCCTGATTTTACAAGGTTGAATTTTCTGGGTTTCCCAAAAGCAGCACGGTGCCAAAACCATCTTAAGAGCCATTGATAAAGCGGATCGCAGCGCTCAAAGCTTTTTGGGAAACCAGCCATAGGTCTGAGCAGGTTTTATCGGCAACTGTTTTTTCGTCTGCTTGTGTTTTTCTTTATTGCACTTTGGAGACTTGACGGTGCAAGAACAATCACAGAGTATCTGAGGGGATGTCACCACTGTGAGGGAGTCGTGCAGCGGGCCCGCCTGATGACGAATGAATGAACAGATGAACGAATGTCTAAAAAAAAGAAAAAGGAAACAGCACCTTTGGGGGAAAGATCCCAAACGTCGACTTACTCTGGAGGATGTGTGCATGGAGTCGTACTGTCACGCTGACATCGAGTACAATCAATCTCACCCAAAGAGACGGCGATCGATCAATCGAGCGATCAGTCGGTCATCGGACGGTTGTCTTTACACTTTACAGACGATACAAATGCCTTGTTTCATTGTGTGGAGTGAACATCGGTGTCAGTGTGTAGTTCATTTATCTTAAATCACGTCAGAAATGTCTGTGGGTCAATGTCAGAAACACTTATTTTCAACAAAAATAAACCTTTATGCACAAATTTGTCGTGTTGGTTTGTTGCAGAGGAGTCGTTGAATGTCTCCGTCTCTCTGGCTGCGCCTCGTCCTCGAGGTGATTTATGATGTTTTGCTCCTGCGGCTGGGTGCCTCCCAGGCCCCCGGCGTCGTGACGCTCCTGCTGTTGGTGACGACACTTTGCTGCTGATTCTGGTCCCGAAAAATCCAAACGAGCATTCGTCAAATTCCACGTGCCGTTCTGCAGCCCATTAGAGTGAGGACACGTGTGAGTCCAGAGCCAAGAGCTTGACTTTGATATTTGATATTTGATTACATTACATTATATTATATTGTGTATTATTATGTCAT